GAGCATTCTACTTGATCACATTTCTTTCAAATGGGTACAAAGATGGATCTTGTCCAGTCAGTTGCCAAGTAGCTGTCTTGAAAATTTTCCACGGAATCTTTTCCACAGCATATCTTATCTTCTATCATTAGTGTTCATGAGGCAAATCTGTCAGATGTTCTCTAAATTCAGGTGGGAACGACTCAAGTTCGTTTGACTCTTGTGCATTTGTTTTCATTGTCTTCAGCTTTCATGTTAACTTACATAAGAGCAATTGATAGTCTGTTCCATAGTCAGTCCCCCACTGCCCCCATCCCCCCACACCCCACCCCTGGTTTTAGCTGCTGATATTGAGTCATTGTTTCTTCCCATCGATGTTGTCGATTTCATTTATGTGTATCTTCTCTAGAGGAGTCCACATATAGAGTTGTCTTGTGTGTTGTTGGAAAAAGGTATTTACTATGAGCAAGCTGTTGGTTTTGCAAAATTCTATCATGAGATCTCCAGGCTCATTTCTATCACCACATCCACGTGTCCTGACTCCCACACCTTCCTCTTTGTTCCCAACTTTCCCATTTCAATGGCCAGTGATTATCCATGCATTCTCCCTAAGAGCCTTATTGGCATGTCGCTTACATATCATACAATAAAATAGTCCAATTGCTCAATCATATCAAGGAGAATTATACCACATCAATTTTAGAGCATCTCCCCACCCCATAGTTTAAGCACTTTTTTAAAGAGTTATGCAATCAAAATCCATTCTAATGCTTCCCCCTCTGCCTTAATTATTTACTCCTGAGATCCCCTTTCCCTTCCTATCACCCACCCCCACTCCTGTATTCCCTGTAACCCCTTGTATCAGTTATTATCGTGATGCATCCACTCCTCCTGTGCTTCACAGCTGGGAGACCCAACAGAAAACAATAAAAAGCAAAATTGCATTAAGGTAGTAAGAATAAAATCATAATAGTACAAAGACAAAAAATACAAATAATGTGTAAGAAGAAAAAGGCCCCCATCAACATTCCAAAATCCAGGGAAGAAATTTCTGTCATGGAACAAGTAAGAGATACTTGCACCCAGAACAAATTCAGGTCGCGTCTATAGGGTGGTCAATGGGGAAAGTGTCAAGTTGGATCTAACATAATCAAGATTACAATGGTCTTTGCCTGGTAATAAGACTGAGACTCTTGTCTGTGGTTAGAGCTGATTGGCCTATGGCTCAGTCTGACTAGATACTATATCGATGGGTTTGGGGCTCCCACCATCCCTCATATCCCTCAACAAAGTGGGTGTTCAGAGTTTTATCTCTGATGGTTTCTCCTCATCACATTCGTATTTTATAATTGTCACCTTTTGATCGCACAAGCTGGTGTGCTTCTTCCACATGGACTTAGTTGACTCCTCACTTAGATGGCAGCTTGTTTGAATACAAGCCTTTAAGACCCAAAACACTATTCTAATTGATAGCCGGGGACCATCTACTTTCTTTACCATACTTTGCTGTACCACCTTATCTTCAGTGATCATTTTATGAAGGTGAATATAGAGCAGTGTCACGATATAAGGACTGATTATGCTTAAGTTGAAGCTAAGCATTAGTGTAAGCCCCAAACCCCTTCCTATATCTATGCTTTTTTTAATTATTTGCTCTAACTTGGAGATTAGTCAATATGTCATGTCATTCCATAGTTCAATCATGTCAAACATAAATGTACAATTGCTTCCATAATCAGTCTCCAAACATACTTTTCCTTCCTGGACTTCTTGACATCATCTCCCTCTTATCTTCCTCACCCCTCTGTATACCCCTTCCCCCAGAACCCTTGTTATATTTCCTTTCCCTATAGACTCAACATTACTGGGTTTCACCTACTCAAAAATAAAGACACAACACAGTTCAAGAGAGTGAGCCCCAATGGCGACACACTTTTGAGATACACCCTAATATGAACAAGCATAAGCAGAATATAACAGAATGTCCATCACAGGATTGCCAGAATAATATGTACCTTAATACAGCATACAGTCCATTGATGTAGCAAAGCCTTGTTTATTCTCCAACCAGCAGTACCTCGCTCTTGGTACAACTGTCTTCTGCTTTCTCAGGCAACAGGCGTTTTTCCAGCTTAAGTAGTCAGGTTACAAGTGTGTCTAGGCCAGAGTCCAGTTCATCCAGTGGGGTTCCCATATGGGGTCTTCCCAATGCAGCATCTGTAGCACAATGTGGCCCCCAAAGATCCAGGATTCAGTGTCCCAGAGTTCTATAGCACCCAGCCTGGATTCCCAGAATATCCCAAGATGCCCTAGGTCATTTTTACCCTCCCGCTGCACTCCAGTAAAGACCCTCCACCACTTAATGATCCCAAGAGCATGCTCAATCTCTCCTCCACACTACCTGGTGGTCAGCCCGCCCTCCCCTCCCCTCAACACGTAGCTTCATGTTTGATCAAAAGAAGATGGAGAAATACACAATCACTGAACCAAAGAGAACTAGTCAACATTACACCATTTCAGGCAGTAGCACATGAACAAGTATCAATGGTACTTAAGGAAGACGCTCAAGCTGCACTGACAGCTTTTGCCAAAATCAAGAATTCAGGAATTGATGGAATACCAGTGGAAACATTCCAACAAGTTGATGAAACACTAGAAGCACTCACTCATCTATGCCAAGAAATTTGGAAGACAGCTACTTGGTCAACAGACTGGAAGAGATCCATACTTGTACCTATTTCCAAGAAAGGTGACCCACCAGAATGCTCAAATTTTAGAACAATATCACTGATATCACATGCAAGCAAACTTATGTATTTTTTCACCATGCTTATTCATTCAGTATGCTGAGCCAATAATCATAGAAGCTGGATGTTATGAAGAAGAATTCAGGATTTGGTTTTGGGTGCTTAGTGACAACTGCTCTCTGCTAGCTAATTGTGTCCATAGCCATTTGTTAGTTCTTCCTTCAAGGCCACTGTTGCTTTGGAAACTGGTGCTGGCATGAACATTCTGGAACCAAATGTGTGGATGGGATGCCACAAACCAAAGGCACTCCAGTGTCATCCAGCCATTCAATTTCTCCAAATCTGTGCCATGGAAATGGGGAGGGGGCAGCAGAGATCGAGAACTGTCATCAGTAAGTTCTTTGGAGACTCAGCCAGCATTACCAGCAGGGACGTAGACTTTCAGAACACATTCAAGTCACTTAGCACTGATGAGCAGATAGATGAAAAGAAACTATTGGAAGGAATTGTGAAAGATATGGAAGATTGTGAATCTTCAGGGCAGTGTCATCAAAGTCTTGTCTTTTGGTGTATAAACCACATTTCTTTGCCTTTGTTTTACCTTATAATAATAGCGTTATTAAACGTTTATCTTTTGAAGATTGGACTAAGTTTTCTAAGCCTAATATTCTCTAGTTTTGTCCACGTCTTGCAGTGTGTAATAGAGTTGTCATTATTTTTATTAATGCATAATATTCTATTGTATGGATGTGCCAGTTTGTTTCTTCATTCTCTCTATCATAGAAGTTTGGGGATGCTTCCATGTTTTTGCTATTATAGAAATTACTGCAATAAGCATAGGTGTGCATATGTTTGTTTGTGTTGTATTCTTTAAGTCTTTAGGGTGTACACCCATTAGAAACATTGATGAATCATACAGTTCTTGAATTTGCATTTGTTTAAGGAAGTACCTCATATTGATTTCCAGAGTGGTTGTACAATGCTACAGTCCTACTAACAAAGTAAAAATGTTCTGATCCCTCTGCATCCTCTCCAGCATTTATTATTTTCTGTTTTATTGAATTTTTCTAAAAATGTCACTGTGAGGTGATATCTTATTGTTGTCTTAGTTGTATTTCTCTCATTGCTACTGAACTCAATATTTGTTAGCTATGCGGATGTCATTTTTTGGTAAATTGTCTATTTTTATACCTATTTTTTTGTGGTGATAGCAGGTGTTGCCCAACTATCAGAAATAATAGCATCTGGGATCTTAAAAGCTTATCTTAAGACAAGCAGCCAACTAAGTGAGACTCAATTCATACAGAAGTATCACTATATTTTCAAGGACTATAAGTAATAAAATCCAAAACCAGAGGAGGGAATCGTACTAGAGCTTAAATTCTGAGAGCCCAATTTGCCAAGGACCTTAGATGACAGTGTAAGCCCAAAATCTATTTGAAAGGTCCCCATGTGGATTAAGCCTCTGGTATATACCCTCTGATCACTAAGGAAGGATATGTAAAATGTAGCCAGGTAGATCTAGTAATGTTCAAATTTAACACTTTATCATCTGTTCTCCCTTTTGACATTTTTCAAATTTGTTCATGTTGGTTTTTATTTTCTACTTTCTTTTCAATTGAGAATTTCCTCTGTTTTAATTTGTTGTTGTTGTTGGATTTTTGTTTTCTTCTCTTTTTTTATGTTTTACTTCGTATTAAATCCAGGATAGGTAAATCTATAGAAACAGTAACTGAATTAGTAGTATCTTGGGATTGTGGGGCAGGGGAGTTTGGGAGAACCTGAGGAACTAATAATAATGAATCCAAGAGGAAGAAAATATTCTAAAGTTGATTATGGGAATGAGTGCTTAAACCTTTTTGATATGTTTGAATTGCATGATCTGTGAATTACATATCAATAAACCTGCTAATATTTAAAAGAAGAAGAAGAAAAAGGGCTCTACACAAATGGAAAAATATCCGATGTTCATGGATAGGAGGGCTTAATATTGTAGAAATGTCAATACTATCTAAAACAATCTATAAATAAAATGCAATTCTGATTCAAATCTCAACTTCATTAATTAAAGAAATGGAAAAACTAATTATCAATTGCATATAGAGAAGGAAAAACCAAGGATACGCAAAGAATGCCACAAAGAAGAACAAAGTAGGAGGCCTTTCACTACCCAACCTCAAAACCTATTACACAGACATAGTAGTCAAAACAGCCTAGTACTGATACAATCCTAGAATGTAGACCAATGGAACAGAATAAAAAAACCCAGATACAGTGTTTGTGTCAGCAGCACATATACTAAAATTGGAATGATACAGAGAAGATTAGCATGGCCCCTGTGTAAGGATGACATGGAAATTCATGAAGCATTCCACATTAAAAAAGAAAACACAGATATAAATCTATCAACTTATAGGCAACTGATCTTTGACAAAGGGCCAATAAACATAAAATGTAAAAGAGGCAGTCTCTTGAACAAATGGTACTGGTAAAATTAGATCTCCACCTACCAGTGAATGAAATAGGACCCATACCTGATTCTATGTACAAAAATGAACTCAATATGGGTCAAAGACATAACTTTAAATCCCAGTGCTATAAAGATCATCAATTGCAAAATGGAGACAAACTTAAGAGCCCAACTGCAAGGCAATCACATACTGCCAAATATAATGATGAAAATATACACAGAAGATGAAATAGATGGGTGGGACATACTAAAAATCAGACATTGTGTGTATCAAAAGACTTCATCAAACAGTAGAAATAGAGCCCATGCACTAGGAAAACATTTGGGAAGGAAACAATGGACCAGGAACTAATTTCTAAAATCTACTGATACTGAAACACCTTAATTAAAAAAAGGAAATCAATCTGTAGCCCTTAAACTTAATGTAGCAACCCCCTACTGTGAAAAGATTCAGATGACTGTTAATGGCTATAGAATTGGTGGTTGTTGGACTTAGGTTAAAATCTCTTGCCTTGAGGTTGCCCAATGAATGGTGACCTATGACTACCTATATTTTCTATTTTAATGCCCTCCTTACTTTATTATGACATGTATTAAGCTAGTAGGTGTGGCTCTGCCTGTATGAATGAATGTTACAGATAGTTTTTCCCTATCACCAACCCCTGCTGTCTGTGTAAATGGTGTCCAGTCAACAATTCGTGTATTTTGGTTTGTAGCTTGCCTATAATTGTATAATTTCATTTTTAAATAGTATTTTAAATTCTATACCATTAGTGAAATTAATGATACTATCAATAGAATTACCTTACGCCCCCATGGGGATGATTGATAATGTTCCCTATCATAAAATGATAATGATGTCTCTAAAGTGAACCAGAGACATGCATAAACCACAGATACATGAATGTATCTATGGCTCACACTTATTTCCAGACCCAATCTAAGAGCCATTTGATCTTAAGACCTGGCCCTACTCAATACTCACCCTCGTGAAGAAATTCCCTCAGAATATGTGTGCTGTACCAAAGTGTGTCAAAAAACTATGGCACCGAGCTATCAAAAGGAATTGTGTCTGGAATCTTAAAGGCTTATCTGCAAATAAGCAGCCATCTGTGTGAGATATCAACGAAATCCACTTGGAAGAAGCATATTAGCCTGTGTGAACAAAGGATTATAAATAATAAAATCCGAATCTAAATGAGGGAATGGATAGATGAGGGATAGGATAGACTGTGAACAACTGGTTTGCAGAAAGCTATGGATGACAGTGGCAGCTCAAAATCTATTTTTGAGCATGCACACATGGATTAAGCTTCCGGTGATTCCCCTCTGACCACAGTTGAAAGATGTCAATAGCCTTATTATCAGACAGAAAGCATTTTAAAGTTGATTATGGCAAATGTAGTTAGATTAAAATATAATTGTTTATCATTTTATCTCCTTTTTGACCCATTTTAAAGTTGTTTCAGTTTAAACAAAAAAGCGAAGAGGAAAGACACCATGGGTTAGGTCTCTGGTGGATCCCCTCTGACCATAGACCAGGGATGTGAACAGCCTGGCTATATAGTGTTGTGTTAGTCTGGGTATTTAGAGAAACAAATCCACAGAAACTCGTGCATAAGAGAGAGTTTTATATGAAGGTTAAGGGCACATCAAGGAAACATCCCAACCCAGAGCTAGCCAAGCCCACAAGTCCAACATTAACCCATTAACCCATATGCCCAACACCAATCCACAAAGTCCTCCTCCATCTCACAAAACACACACTATGATGCTGACTGCAGGAGGAAAGCCGAGTCAGTGAATGAGTAAGCATCTCAGTGCTGGTAGGGGTCTCCACACGGGTGCTCCAGCACCCAGGGCTGCATCGGGGTAGGTCCATGTGGCTTCTCCTCAGGGATGTCTTGCAGGAAATGAGCCTTGACAGCTGAAGCAGGGAACTGGCTAAGGCAGCTGTACCTTGATCCAACCATCACAAAGCAAGAGACCTGAGAACTAGAAAGGCATGGCTCACCAAGCCATGTATCCCTCCACCCTTCAATTAACCCCACATGTGTTTATCGGCCAGGTTGGCACAATAAACTACCTCAAGACTGCTGAGTGTATTAGAAAGTGAATTATTGTAGAAGCAGTTAGGTTAAACTTTAACACTTTACCATTTGATATCCCTTTTGACCCACTTTAAATTTGTTCTGTATTTTAGTATGTTCTGCTTTTATTCTGATAGAAATTTTTCTGTTTTACTATATCCTAGTTGAGTTTTTTATTTGCTTGTTTGTTTTTTGTATGTTTGTTTGTCTGAAATCCAGGATAGGTGGAACTATATAGGCAGTAACTAGATTAGTGAGTTCTTGGGGGTATGCAATGGGGAGCTAATACTAGTAAATACAAGAAACAGAAAATGTTCCAAAATAGATTATGGTGATGATTGCACAACTCTTTTAAATATGACTGAATTGTTGAATTGTATGATATGTGTATTAAATGCCAATAAAGCTTTTAAAATTATATTAAAAATAATAAACAAAATAAGGGACAGAAGACGTGACCAGATAGTTGACCAAAAATGGCATTCAAATGGCTAATAAGCACATGAAAAAAATGTTCTCAGATATTGGCTAGCTGTAAGATACAAATTGAAGCAATCATGAGACATATTGTACACCAACTATGACAGTTCAATTTGAGAAAAAGAAAAAAACAGGAAACAAATTCTGGAAGGATACAGAGAGATTGGAACTCTCATACACTGCTCCTGGGCCTGCAAACATGAATAAACATTGTGGATCACCTGAAACAACGACGACGAATGGAGATCCCACATGATCCAGCAATACCTCTGCTGGATCGATGACCTGAAGAAGTAAAGGACACAACGCCAATAGACGTGTGCACTTCCATGTTTATGGCAGCACTGTTCACAACAGCACGAGGTTGGAAAAGACCACAAGCCGCTCAGTAGAAGAGCGACTTCAGAAACGTTGGTGCACACACACAAGGGAGTGCTGTGCATCTTTAAAACACAGTGATGAAACTATGAAGCACCTGGAGAACATTCTTCTGAGTGAAGTTAACCAGTCACAGGAGGGGAAATGCTGTATGGTACCATGAGCACAAGGGCAAACACCACGACAAAAGCAGGCATCTGTTCTCAGGTCATGTCGTCAGCAGTCATTTAATCTGGTCTCCTAAACAATGTGGAGCTGTGTCTTTCTAACATGATCCATACCAAACCTAACTCACTGCCATCTAGTGTATGCCAACTCATAGCAGTCCTTATGACCCCTTTATCATTCCCTTATTTGTCCATCAGAAAACCGCTTAAACTCAGGATGCTTAAACTCAGCTGGGATCAGGTTATCATTTAGTGGGGGGAGAGACAAGACCAAATAGGTCCTGTCTTATAGCATTGTCCCATGGTCATCCGAATTAATAGACACTTCTACCTCAACAGCCTGATGGCATAGTGTTGCTTTGAGTTGCTAACTGAAAGGTCAGCAGTTTGAAACCAGGAAGATGAGGCATTCTACTCCTGTAAATAGTTACAGTTTTGAAAATCCACAGGAGAAATTCTACCCCCTTTTATAGGTTCATTATGAATTGGAATCAACTCAATGACAGTGAATGAGAGTGATATTGGTGATCAGTGAAAATCAACGGGAACTCATGATGGGGACTGAGTGGGTGAGAAGGGTACATAGGCTTCTAAGAAGGTAGGAGAACCACGAAGGGGCAACCTGCCCTTGCGGGAAATGCTTAACTTCACTTCTATTGATTCCCAAAATGAGAACCTGTCCAGTCTTGCATTGCTAATCAAGCATTTTAACCAAGTTTCCTTTCAGCGCTCTGTGACTCAGGCTGTGTAGTATAGGCTACCTCTATTTTAGATTTTGCTTTTTCAAACTGTACAGCGTTCTTTATAGGCCCCTCAGAACTATGTGATTTGCAAACTCCACTTAAAGAACTCCACTTTACCTTAAACACACCTGTTGCTAATTAAAGGAAGTGAAATATTCCTTTGGATTTGAAGTACAAAGGTCATGGATTTGGAAGTCAGTGGACTTTGGTTCAGATCTCTGGCTCTTGAGGTTGCCCAAGTGTTGATAACTTAAAACTACCGTTCCCTCGCTATTTATGTATTTTCTTTGCTTTTTGTGGCATGCCTTAATCCTGCAGACTTAGTCTTGCCTTAGTGAATATTTAAAGTTTTGTCATATATCTAACCCTCATTGTTCTCTTAGAAGCTTTCAGCTACTTAAGTTTTTAACTTGTAAGTGGACATCCCATGTTATTTTAAGCCCCAAACTTTCCTATGTATGTATATTTTCCTTTTCTCAATAGTGCTTTAAACTGTATACCATTGAATAGATTAGCGATGCCGTTATTAGAATTACCAAATGTCTCATGGAAATTACTTAAATTAGTTCTCAACAAGCTGAAGTGATGCCCTAAATGTATATGTGTATATATA